CAGCAAGAGAGGGAACATAAGCAGGGGGAGTGGGAGAAGCAGGCTTCCCACCGAGCAGGGAGCCCGACGCGGGGCTCGATCCCAGGACCCTGGGACCATGACCCGAGCCGAAGGCAGACACCTAACGACTGAGCCACCCAGGCACCCCTGAAATTATCTTTCTGATGCCGAAGTATTGCACTGCTGCTTCGTGTGAACCAGTGCTCATAGCCAGTTGTGCTTTAAAGAAGTGTTTTTTCTAGTCCACCACAGTGACTTTTTAAAATTTCTTTTAGTTAATTATAATTTTTTTTTAAATCTTGATTTATAGCTTCTCTTGAGAAATCAAAAAATTTGGCATCCCTAGGCCCACATTCCCACAGGACAGTAGGATATGTGGTCTAAATTGTGGTGTCCGTTTTAGAAAAGGCATGTGTTCTCTTCAGTCCTTTAGGACAGCCATCAGCCCCTGTAAGCATTTTTAATAATGCTTTGTACCTAAATATTCAACTTTCAGAATTTTTCCCTTGGAAGTAAATGATCTCTTAACACTTATCGATGGCCTTGTGGGTCATCCAGTTGTGTGGCTGTGAGGCAAGGAAAGAGCCAACACCCCAGTAGTGAATTCAGTGGCATACTAGAGCTAAAGTTATCATCTCATCTCTGGTTTTAGTAGGAAAATAATGTGGTTCTTTTCCACAAATTAGTTTACCATGTGTGGAACCGTTTCATTGCAGATGCATCAAGTTGCAGTTAGGAGGCGAGGCGGCGCAAGCAGAAGCCTGGTCCTGGCTAGCAGCCAATCAGCTCTCATCGGTCATCAGCACTAAGGAGTCTAGGTACAGCCCTGCTGCTCATCCGCCCCAAAAGGGCTTACCCTCCAAATGCTTCCCTCGTGCACTCAGTTCATGTCTACTGAATGCACTTCAGCCTCTTTAAAATCCTTCTCTAACCCTGACCTTCAGGAAACTTCCCTTCCTTAAATTAAATCTACAGTTTCTATTGCACAGCTCGGCGCTTTAAAATTGGAACATTTTACAGTTTGGAAATGCTCTGACATTAGTTTTCAATCCCTAAATTAGCACACCAGTATCACTACTAAAATACAGATATATCACCCTTGTCTTCTAAATCAGAACTTCTACATGATTCTAATGCTTGATTGGGTTTGGAAACAGTGATCTGAGCCAATTTCCTTGTTTTAGAGATCTGGAACAAAGAAGTTAATCGAATTGTGTAGTCAAGTAAAGATGTACTTAGTGGGAGAGAAATAGAATCCATGTCATTTGGTTTCTAGTACTACCCCTAAGCCACACTGACCCTAATATTAGTTGCCATTTAGTTATATTATCAATTCAGTTGTGAGCTTCTAAAGATTTTTTTTCCTTGTAAATACATGCTTTGAATGGTGCTGTAAATATCTGTTAAGAATCTAGAACTCATTAGTCCTTTCTGCTTTTTTCAAGTGCTACAGATGAAGCATGGCGACTATTATCAACTTACCTGGAAAGGTACAAAGTCCAGAATAACTTATATCACCACTGTGTAATCAACAAGCTCTTGTCTCACGGAGTGCCTCTGCCTAATTGGCTTATAAACAGTTACAAGGTAAGTGGTATCTTAACTTACATAGAGTAAGAAGCTGATCTTTACCATTATGGATAAACTTCATGAGATGATTAAAAAGAAAAGGTGATAATTTATGGAAATATACTGACATATGCTTTGGGCAGTGTCTCAATCTTAGTTAAAAACACTAAGAACAGCTTAATTTTAATTCCATATGAAGTACTGGGTGTTTAGCATTAAAGTTCTGTGGGTTAGTGATTAAGTTAATGCCTGCTTGTTTTCTCACTGAACAATGAGTATTTATTTAGAACAATGACTATACGTGTGACACAGTATTTACTGTTTGTTACTCAAAAATTCACAGAAGTGAGTAGTTTTCAAAACTACAACAAGGTTTAAGTTTTTGTCAAAATTGGGTTTTTGACTGCCTGCATCAGAATTTATTTGGGTAGCTGGCTTCTTCAAATACAGATTCCTGAACCCCATTCCACACTTACACAATCAAATTAACCTGGGGCTAGAATCTGGGATCTATATTTTACCAAGCTTCTGATTTGATACGATGCATGCTTACGTTTGAAAACTATATCTGAAATACATTGGGTGGAATAGGAAAAGAGAGAATGTAAAGCTTAAAATCAGGAAAGTTGGTCTGTTTTGAGGGGGGGCATTATTTTTTGTTTATTTAGGTTAGAAAGTAGAAAAGGCAGTTAAGATGGTGAAAGTTAGGGCACCTGGGTGGCTCAGTCGTTAAGCGTCTGCCTTCGGCTCAGGTCATGATCCCAGGGTCCTGGGATCGAGTCCCACATCAGGCTCCCTGCTCAGC